TTTTACGAAAGAAAATTACTTATAAGTGTATTTCACCTAAAGGAAAATTTAACGGTAATTTTAACGTCAGAATTTTTACTTAATGGTAAATTTTACTCATAAGTCATAATTTTACGATATTAAGACCACTTTATAACCGTAAATAATTCCTATTCGCCTGGTATTTTTTAGGGTTATTAGTGGGTAATAAATACTAATAATATTGACTAAACAAGGAAAAATAAGCTTAAAGTGAAAAATAAAACTTTGCGGGAATTTTTTTTTTAGGCCGCCATATGAGTTTTTTAAGATGGCATCCATTACTTATCTAAACATTTATATAATATTTTTTCATGAATATTTTTCTAAAATATAATAAGAAAAGTTTTAGTTATTAAAAAATGATTAAAACTAAATGATTTTTAAAAGATTTTATAAAATTTTGTAGGTTTAAGTTTTGTTGATTTTTTACCCAAGCAATAATTTTTCTTAAAGCCGTAAAATATTTAGAGGGCATATAATTTTTAAGACGTATCGTACCTATTTTTATCAATAAAATAATGTGCGTTTGAGTTTTAATGCAAAATATCAATGGTTTTGACAATTTAAGTTATATTTTTTAATTTTACTCTAGGGTGGCCTTTATTACTTTGTAATTACTTAAGTTTCTACCATTTTGTAAAATATAAATTAAAAGAACAAAGAAATTACGAATATCAATGTTTAAGAAAGAGAGAGCAAACAGTTAGTAATTATAGCGTTATTTTTACGTAAATGTGTGGTATTTATATTGTTTGTATTACGTAATTCTCTTAGAAGATCAAAAAGGTTATTATGTGGGTAAAATAACGAAATAAACCATTCCCCAAATTTGGTAATTTTTCGTATCTATACCGTTATAAAACCGTTTTGGTTAACCGTAAAAAATACTTTAAAGTTGACTTAGTAGTAAATTTGTAGTTATTTAAACTTAAAATGAAAAAATAAAGTTTCAAGTCACTGGCGCACGTACTAAAAAATAGGGGGGTCAGTAAGTACTGGACATAGAACAAACTAGATACCACATCCCTATGTAGTATGAGATCACCTCAAAAGATGTAACTATTTATGTTGAAGAAGTGTGCCGAATTTAAACTTAATATTTTATCAATTACTCGAATTATTAAAACAAATCAATTTTAAATTTCAAACTTTGTCGCCCTGTAGATCGAACATGAAGCTCTAAATTGAAAAATGGTATTATAAAAGTCATATTCTTTTAACTAAAGGAATATATGGTTAACGGATTGACCTCCTGTTTCCGGACACCCTATATAACCCCTTCGCATCAATGGCATTTTTCTCTTGGCATGTTTCACAGTAGTTAGTCATACACAACAACGATTCGGTATTGCAGCAAACAACATCACATAATAATTCCGGCGTTTCTGTTTCTTATAAGAAACAATTAATACTGCGATAGGTTATTTTTTGCTTCTTTACTGGAGTTACTCGGCATGCCGCGGCAGTACATTTTTTTATTTTGTGTACAATTTGTAGGCGCGACTTCAATCTAGTTTTCTTTTCTTATGGTTGGTCCAAGCTCCTAGTTCATTTTTCGCCTTTTTAACGAACCGATATTTTCTTATATACTTTCCTTTATAAAGGAAAGTATATAAGAAGAAAATTTTAAGTATACCCACAGATGCTATTCATTGTTTAGTTTTTCATTTTCGGTTAGCAAAACAGCATTTTGACAATATTTCTTTTAAAATATATAATTTTTTAATTATTTTCAAATCTTTTTTTGTACTCGTTAGTTGTATTTTGCGTATTATTTATATTTTAACATTAATTAATGTTAAATATAAAGTACATATCAACGGTTCAGTAAATTTGGCACTGAATTAAAACAGTTAGTTAGTATTTTGTATTTCGAGCATAAGACCGAATTAAATTAAATGTTTTGCCTAGGCACTTCTAAAAGTTTAAAATTTATCTGCTATTGAATTTAAAATAGGATTCATAAAAAATAATTCCAACGTTATTTTAATTTTCAATTTATTGAAAACCTATTATTTTGTTCGATTTTGCTACATTTAAATAGTATTTAATTTTTTTTTTATTCTCAATGAGATCTACAACCTTTATTGTCCATTTTGGGTAGAAACACCCTGTATATATACTATAGTATACTGCATCTGGCGTGTCAATTAGGTACTTCTGTTCTGCGTTTTTAAAGACAAGTTTTCACATGAATGGATTTACTGGCGTTTTCACTTGCACGTAAGTTTAGTAAACTTACGTGCAAGTTTACGCAATGTTTACACACCAAATTTTATTTTACTGGCGCGCCAGTTCTCATGAGTCGCCAGAAAAATCCATGCCAATATATGTAAACTCTACTGTAAACCTTTATAGATGTATTATAATAATACATATTCAGTGATGGGCGGTGGGTAAATCCCCAATGGGTAGCTAAATAAAATTTGGGTATATACTTGGTATATACAGACAGGATGGGGGTATATGTATATATATGTGGGTATATATATATGTGGGTATATATATATTGGGAAACATTGGATATATACCTGATATTTACCCGGTATATACCAGGTATTTACCATCCGGTTATTGTCGACAACTTGTTGAGAAATTCTATTACCTATAAAATTTAGGGTATTTCCCTAAATCGCGCGGTCATATTTCCGCTTCGAGATAGAATATTATTACTCAAAACATTTACCATCCGGTTATTGTCGACAACTTGTTGAGAAATTCTATTAGTATAAAATTTAGGGTATTTCCCTAAATCGCGCGGTCATATTTCCGCTTCGAGATGGAATATTATTACTCAAAATATTTCATTAGACACGAGTTGTGAGGTTAAGTTGTGGTTGGGAACCACTAAACACATATGTATAGTTCAGTGTTGGGAACTGTAAAAGATCAACTGTTTGTGTTGCTACTGCTTTGCAAGTAATATTAAAGAGGTTACTAATAACACTAGGTATTCAACACTAAAAAATCAAAGATACCTCAAATAGCGAACCTAAGTGTAAACGAAGAGTCTGGTTAGTAAAATTAATACTCCCATTGCTTTTTTGTTTAACAATATTATCGGAATATTTAAATTAATCCTTAATATACAAAAAGTCATACAAACGTGTTAATTTTTCCCACTCGTTTCTTATGTTTGTGGTAAATTTACTCCTAAAAGTGGAAAAAAGACAATGGTGACCCATTTACTTATCTTAAAAACTAATGGAATCGAAAAAATATTGTATTGAACAAAAGTTCAAAAACCCATAAAATGTTATTATATTTTTATTTATACAGGGTATTCCTTTTTTGCTGGGTTGTTACCAAATTTCTTATTAAAAAAAAATAATGTGCAAAAATAATCCTGAGGATACCTATACCCAGGCGAAAATTATATATAATTTATTTACAAATATTTTTTAATTTAAAAATAATGCATTAAGCATTAAAATTTATAAAAAATATTTTTTGTTGTTTAAGTTATTTTTTTTGTATTCATTTTGTTTCATTTAAAATGTATGTGTTCATTATTTTTCTTCTTATTTCGATTTATTCAATTACTTGTTATTCTTAATTTAACTACTATTTGTTAAACTACCTTAAATTAACAGTAGCAATACTTTGGTATTTACCATATACCGGTATATTCCGGGTATATAGTAAATACCAAACTTAATACACCCTGAATTTACCCATTTGGTAGGTACCTTGGGTATTTACCCAAATTTCAATATACCGGGTAAGTACTTGCCCATCACTGATGGTAACCCGGTCAAAAAAGTTAGTTCGACAAAATCATAGATTAATCTATGGACAAAATGCACAGATCATAAAGGTAGACATGCAGCGGATCGGATCGGTAATACCGAAGTGCGGCAGAGAGTGGACGTCTGTGTAAACATAATCAAAGTCAAGTTATAAAATAAAATCAGCTGTTAAAAATTGTGTCTATAGTTTTAGAAGTTCCATAATTAGTGGAAGAATAATGAAATGATATGAGACATCGAAGAGTAAAGCGCGAATTGCTTGTTTGTATCATGCTAGGTACCTATATTGGCGCCATGGCCCCAATACCCATGCATGTACGAGCCCTAACCACATAATGTTCGGACACTTCATAATTTATACAGAAATTTTTTTCGTGAATACTATCTCAAAATTATTAGAAGTTATGAAAAATTCAGCTTATTTTGGCATATACCCCTCGAAGCGATTTTTATTTTTAAAAAGTTTACCTTTTATTTTTAGCTTTTAAAAAAAGGCTAACTTTTTAACTTTTTTTTGTATGAGTAAAAAAAGTTATAAATGGACCCATTAAAAAGAGCATAAAATATTATACAAACCCTAAAAATTTGGTAAAAAATAAATAAGTTATAAAAAAGTATAAGTAATTTAAAAATGCTATTTTTAAAGAGTTTTTGCAATTTTCTTAGGAAACGGGAGATTTTGCAGATATATATATCGCTATAACTTTCTTATTATTTATACAATTTTTACCAAATTTTCAGGGTTTGTATAATATTTTATGTTCTTTTTAATGGGCCCATTTATAACTTTTTTTACTCATGCAAAAAAAAGTTAAAAAGTTAGCCTTTTTTAAAAGCTAAAAATAAAAGGTAAACTTTTTAAAAATAAAAATCGCTTCGAGGGGTATATGCCAAAATAAGCTGAATTTTTCATAACTTCTAATAATTTTGAGATAGTATTCACGAAAAAAATTTCTGTATAAATTATGAAGTGTCCGAACATTATGTGGTTAGGGTTCGTATAAACTCGCCATGTCTGTTTAATATGCAACCCAGAATACACTTGTGTGTTGGATGATTTTAAACTTTATTTATTATTATTATATTTTTTAAACATATTAATAACAATTTTATAAGACTAACTAATTAAATATATTTAAATATTATTACTGAAACTATTTAATAAAATGTTACACAATAGGAGTTAATAAATCCGGCAGCACTGCGATTAAATTTATGACACTTGTGAAATGTAAATGTCAAAATTTATTTTTTGTCAACAAGATTAAAGCTGTAAACACAACGAATTAAGAAATTAAATAACTAATTAAACAACTTAACATGGCACATGGATCTCACGATAAGGACGTAAAATTTGACGAATTTTATACAGAGGTTAGTAATTAAAAATAAAGCCGTCGGCGCTTTCTTTAAACAATTTGATTTTATAGGTAAAAGAAATCGAAAAACGAGATTCAGTTCTTACACCAGTACAACAAATTGAAAGGCTGTTACGTCCAGGTAGTACCTACAGAAATTTAAACCCCTTCGATGTGTTACAAGTAGAACCTGATTCCTCAATAGAAGAACTTAAAAAGAAGTATCGAAGATTGTCAATATTAGTCCATCCTGATAAAAATCAAGATGATCCTGAAAGAGCCCAACAAGCTTTTGAAGCTGTTAATAAAGCATGGAAAACATTAGAAAATGAGGATACTAGAAAAAAGTGTCTGGATATTATAGAAGAAGCACAGGGAAGAACAGATATTATGGTAAGTAAAATATCAAGTGTTATATTTTTAGTTAAGTTTATTTTTAGTTGACTGAAAAGCGTAAAAAGGCCAAAAAAGAAGGAAAAGATAGTATTCCAGAAGATGATCCAGTTAAATATAAGCATGCCATATATGTTTTAACAATGAAGCTATTTGCTGATTTAGAAAGAAAAAGACGAGATTTAGCTGAAAGAGTACAAGAAGAAAGTAAAAGAAAACGTGAAGCAGAAATAGAAGAAGAGGAAAATGCCAAAACACAAAAAGAGTGGCAGAAAAATTTTGAGGTAAATGTATAGTTTTTTGATTTGTAATGTTTGTAAATAATATTTTTTAGGAATCAAGACAAAATAGAGTAGACAGTTGGCAAAGTTTTCAACAAAATTCAAAAGCAAAAGCAACAAAAGCCAGTAAAAAAATTAAAGTATTTAGGCCACCAAAAAATAAGCCTGAATCTAGGTAAATTATTGTCTAGAATTTTAATATTAGATTTATAAATAGTTAAGAGCAAAATTATTATTTCTAATATAGTGAATTTTTATTAATTTTTGTAAGCCATGATGAATTTAACTTATATTATTTTTGTAATAATTTTAAGACGACCATTATAAAATTTTAAGCCAACCACTATAAAATTTCAATAAAACACAGTTTATGTTGAATAAAATATTTATTTTTTATATCAAAATATATCACTGTTAGAACCCATTAAGGTATACTTTATTATACTAGTAATAAAAAATTACTTTACAAAACATAAAATGGTTACACATTTTACCCCATAAATTACTTTACAATAATATGACATTAATAACAATTACAATTTAAATTTGATTTAAGTATGTAATTAAGATGCACGAGTGTCCAGACTTGATCTTAAAGCCAAACAGCCTTCAACCCAAAGATTTGGTCTCTCCAACATGCTCTTCCATAAACTCATTTCTTTTCCAGTTGCATCCATCCAGTCCACAGCCTTTCCATAATGCTTACCTAAAAATACAAAACATTTAATTTAATTAATTAAAGAACTTAACAAGTGACAAACTTATATATTTTTAATTTTTTAAAAGTTTTTTCTAGTTAAGTACAGATTTTTAAGATTAATAATAAAAATATTAATATTTTAATGGATTTTGAAAATGTTGGTCAACTTACAACAAAAGCTGTTTTAAGTTGTTTGTTTAACTTTAATTCTCACATTTTAATAAATTATAAAATTATTTAAACTATGTGAAGTAATTACTTTACATAGGGGTTAGCAGGGGTTGTTAACAGTTGTTAACAGGATTTGTTACCACTGCTTAAATTTACATAGTTCATTAAATTTAAAGTTTTCTAAAGCCAAAGCTGCAGCTTAAATTTTGTTAAGCCAATATTTTTTTGTGAAAGTTGCGCAACCAATATAAAGTTGTTCTGTGATTCCCTGAATGTCTGTGGTTTGACAGTTTGAGAATAATAAACCCACAATCAAGAAAACTTCCTAGACTAGACTATTGGTAAGTTAAAATTTAAATGTAAAATTAGACATTTAAAAACACAAGATGTGTACTATTTAATAGAGAACTTGGGTGTACCATCCCAGACAGCAATATGACGTCTTAATTAAGTCTGCATAAGCTCTACTTTATGATTTGGACGTCAAATACAACATCAGAAAGAAGTTTTTAAGAAGTTCTTAAGACTTCGAATGCGCCACCTAATGACTTAATCAAGACTTCTCAAAAAAGAACTCTTGAGGAACCCTTTTCTTTGACTTTGCAATTAATTATTTTAAGGAGTCCTACTGTATAAACTTATAAAAAGACCGTTTTGGATATAGAAGTACTACTAGGGTACTGATGAAAAAATTACATACGGGATCGTTGCTTATTTTGACATGTCAAGTTTATTTTATTAATTTGATAAATTGATTTTATTAAAATCAGTTTAATAATTTGCTCGTATTCGCTTATTTTAGGAATTGCGATTACTTCGTCTCACTTCACCGGCACCGCTCTTTTGGAGCTCGTCAGTATCGGGTAGCCTTTTACCTAGGTCTAAGACCGTTTGGTATGAAGCACGCTCTAAATTCTACTTCGCCGCTTCTTATATCAAACACAAGCAGTTACAGCGGTGAGAAGAAAGTAATCGCATTAAAATGTCATAAAAGTGACGTCTCCATTTTGACGTCTTAAAGAGTTATTATTATGATTTCAGTAAGAAGTAAGAAAAGAAAATACTGTTAGATATCATATAACTAAAGTCTTATTTATGATACCCTTAGTAGCTTCTAATTTTGATTCGAATAAGAGGTCAGAAAAAAAGATACTTTAAGATGTTAAAAAATTGACTTCTCATTTATGAATTCATCAAGAACTCTTAATCTTGAGCTCCTAAAAATGATTTCTCCAAGATGTCATATTGTGACCTCAGTAAGATGTTTTTGAACAGACTTCGTACAGAAATCTTTCTGAATTGGATGCTGTCTGGGATGTAATACCATTAAATCGAATACTTGGTACCACTTTTAGTTTTGCGTTACCTGGCAACACTGTTCATTTTTATACATGGACAACCAAATTATGCCGTTCAAAATTCCGCGTCCGCCTTACAGTATATATTTATAAATATATTGTATTACAGTATATTTTTATTTATTTAAATTATCCCTGCGGCGCCGAGTGCACTCGGACATGTCCTTTATTTTAATAAGCCAAAGTTGGCAACCCTATTTCTAAGTTACTCATGAGTGTGCACACAGAACATACGGATTTTCGTAAGTAATATCATAAGGGCATCTATTTTTTTCACAGTAAAAATTAGATGCCCGAATGGTATTTGACAAGACTATTTCATGAGTAACAGTTATTCTGCATACACATATGTAGCTTACAAAACATATGTTTTGTAAGTATACACTACCTATTATACCTATAGGTATACATGCAAATTAATACCTACATATTTATTATAATAAATATGTAGGTATTAATTTGAAAACTGAAAAATAGGTAATTTATTCACAAAATACTACAAACTTAATTATTTATGGTTTAATTAAAATATAAATTGCAATTTTTGGTAACAACAGCTGTCAAGTTTTGCCGCGGGTAAACTCGAAGAAACTGCTGACAGGTGCTGTCCTACAGTTTTTCAACCTAGAAACCATTTGTAATTGCGTTTGTGATTGGTGGAAATTAAGACGAGGGAATTAGTCTAAAGAAAAATATGGTATACGCCACTGAAAAATATTTGGTATTTAATTTTTTTTAATTTGTATTTTGTTTTATAGAAAATGTTCCTCTTGCGTTTTGTTTGTTTTTTTTTTTTATTTTCCCGTAATGCAACCTTTAGTAAATACAAGTTTTTCCACACAAGTAAAGGTAACATAAACATAATCGAGTATATAAATTTAAATTTGCTATTGTTTTGTTTCGTAATGCATTTTTAATGGGTATTCTGCCATTTTCAATAGATTCTTTTTGATGCTTCTAAAAACCAATAGAAACTTTTAATTTTAGTGTGTACGTTTTAGCCAATCAAAACATTCCCAGTAAGCACAAGCTAGCCGGCCAGCATACGACCCGAATACGTTTTGCCGAATCGGCCGCGTGCGGCCCGACACTTGTATTTGTTCCGGCGTGTAGACCGGGCATGTCCGCCTGGCCAAATGTAGGCTATGTTTACTCGGCCGAGTGTCGGCTGTGTAGGGGAGAGTGGGTAGACATTGGACAATTTTTAGATTTTTTTGCCTGGGTCTCTTAGAAATGTAATTATTTCTAATTTCAAAGTTTCAGGTAATAGTGTTGACTTTTGAAAACGCAAAGAGATAAATATGTGCACTTTAAACCGTAAGATGGGTTTGCTACGAATTTTTGAAAATTTTCGGTCATCTGTCCAAAGTCACCCCACATACGGGGAGATTCTGGACAACTATAAAAATATTATAAATTTAGGAATTTTATTGAAAAAATCAGAGCAAAACTTATTTAATACTAAATTGCGACAAATTAAAATTAAAGTAAATCATGTTATGGAATCGAACTCCGTCAGTGGGGGGGAAGAACCAATACCAAGTCCTTAAAATCCACCAAGGCTTCATCTTCATGTGTTTCTTTAAATCTGTATGATAGAAACTGCTTTTTAAGGAATTTGACTGTATATCCTTGGTTTAATTTTTGCAATATTCTGCTAACGAAGTGCCGGGACTATGTTTGGACAATAGAGGAAGACTCTAGACAGTGTGTCCAAACTCTCCCTACATGATGTGAAACAAAAAAAATGTTCATAATTTCAAAATATAGCAAAGGAATAAAGTAAGAATATAACAAAAGTTCCATGCTTTATACATGCTTTAATATGTAGTAACTTTAAATTATTTATCTACAACGGTCTGGGCAGAAAAGCTTACAAGGGGAAAGTAAAATATTACATGAAAAAACTCGAAAATAAACTTTTCCACTTACCTCTTCTACAGCTAAACTCAAACTAATTTCACTACCACTATTTGATACCTTACTAACTTGACGATGTGTAATAGTAGAACCAACCTGAAATTTTTACTGGAACCGCGAAATTCGTCCATTGTCCATTGTCTCCCAGTGTCCAGACTCTACCCACTCTCCCCTATAGTTGCCCGAGTGCCGGCCACAACAGCCTGGCAATTCAAAAAAAGCCTTCAGACGTCCTGGATAGGTATAGAACATGGCCAAACGGTACCGGGCTAACATAACGCGGGCCATAAGCGGAACGACTGGGGGCAAGCCGAACCGCCTATGCCGAGCGAAGGCCGACTGTTTGCCGAGTGTTTGGTGCTTACTGCCCGACAAACAATCGTCCGTCGGCCGCTAGGCTGCAACCGATCATCGCTTTTTACATCGAGTCGACGTCGGACCGACGTCGGCAAAACGAGCGGTAAAACGTCTGTAAACGATAATCGATTTTCGACGTCGGTCCAACGCGTTGCAACGTCGAAAAACGATAATCGATTTCCGACGTTAACCCAGCGTTGTACCGACGTCGGCAATACGAGCGGTAAATCATCTGTAAATGATAAGCGATTTTCGACGTCGGTCCATTGTCGGCAAACGATAATTAAGTTCCGACGTCAACCGAATGTTTAACCGACGACGGCAAAACGAGCGGTAACCCGTCTGAAATTGATAATCGATTTCCGACGTTTATCCAACGTTGGACCGACGTCGGTAAAACTAGAGAAAAAACGTTTGCAAAAGATAATCAATTTCCGACGTCGGCCTAACGTAGCCAAACGATAATTCATTTCCGACGTCAACCCAGCGTTGTACCGACGTCGGCAATACAAGCGGTAAAACGTCTGCAAACGATAATCGATTTCCGACTTCGCGATGCGTCGGCCCAACGTTGGACGTACGCGTCGCAACATTGTCAAACGTCTGCAAAAGACAATCAATTTTCGCGATGGTTCAACGTCGGTAAACGCGTTATCGCGATAATCAATACTGGTCATTAATATTTATTTATAAATTAACTATTAGTACATGAATCACAGAACATAAACATGAATTATGGAACATAACCTCACACAATACACGATTCTGCAACGTTGTTTGCTTAAAGTTACAACCCAATGGGTTGTTATCTATGGGTTGAACCCAGTGGCGGCTGGTGGATTTTGGGCACACCCATATCTCAGTTATTAGACATGGGACCCACATAAAATTTATATGAGTTTATAATGACATTATATAGACAAGTTCTGCGTGAGCAGAATTTAAATTAAAGTTTGCGAAAAAAAGTTAGTTTTTAAGTGCAACCCCCAGCCTCCTGCCCCTCCAAATTAAGATAATTCAAATTAAAGTGGTACAATATTTAATTCACTGAAGTTTATCGACAAATTTCAAATTTTATTAAAAAAATTCAAGAATTACAGGTTTTATACCATTTATAATTTTTATTATTTCTTTTACTAAATTAAAAAAAAATTTGAAATGGTATAAAATCTGTAATACTTGAATTTTTTTAATAAAATTTAAAATTTGTCGATAAACTTCAGTGAATTAAATATTGTACCACTTTAATTTGAATTATCTTAATTTGGAGGGGCAGGAGGCTGGGGGTTGCACTGAAAAACTAACTTTTTTTCGCGAACTTTAATTTAAATTCTGCTTGGGCAGAACTTGTCTATATAATGTCATTATAAACTCATATAAATTTGATGTGGGTGCCATGTCTAATAACTGAGATATGGGTGTGCCAAAATCCACCAGCCGCCACTGGTTGAACCCATTGCGGGATTTCTAGATCTGACGTTGACGTTGCCGTTAAAATAGTAATATTTATTATGAGTTTTGTATCTATGGAGAAGTAATTAATATTAAACTGCTAATTATTAATTATCAGACTCACAATGTGTTGTAACCAAAGCGACTTGACAACGTTGCAGAATTTTTTATTGTGTGAGGTTATGTTCTGTGGCCAAACGAATTAAAACCGTTGCGTTTAAATCATAGATAATAAATCATTTGAGTGTGTGTATGTTATGTTCTGTGGCCAAACGAATTGAAACCGTTGCGTTTAAATCATAGATAATAAATCATTTGAGTGTGTGTATGTTAGCTGCAGCTTTTCAAATTTAATCAAAGATAGAAAGATGTCCAAACAATATAAGTAAGTACCTAATATATATATATATATATATATATATATATATATATATATTTATTTAAGTATATATTAGAATAAAATATAAAGCAATATAAGACTATATATTTTATTCTAATGCCCTAAAATATCCGGAGAGATTGGCTATATTTGGGCTTTTATAATATTTTAGAGCTAATCGAAAGCGGTCAAGAAGTTATGTTTATAAATTAGCAGCCAAAGAAAGGGAGGAGTCCTTTAAACTATATAAAATTGATAACAATCTCTCAAGTAATATTTCTGAAACTAATAATAGTAAAAATAATCATATCGACTCAGAAGAAAAATGTTTTTATTTTAAAAACGTTAACACTTCCCTATTTTTTTGTTAATTTACAATTAATTAATTAGTAGGCCTATTATCTTGTAAATAAAGTAAATTGTATGTGGTTTTTGTTTGAAGTAGATATTTTTAAAATCTAAGAAGGTACAGAGATTAACGCAAACCTCTTTAGTGCAAAATAGGCTAACGCCACAATACAAAATCCCAGCTCACAAAAAAACTGAATATTAATGAGTATAAATAAAAAATAAATAAATTTTGTCAACAACCATCATTGGTTGATTTGATATGGATTTACTTATATAAATATATATTTTTTTAATTTAGCTTCTTTAAGAAAAAATCCAATGACCAGGGAAGCTACAAATAAAGAAATTGAAGATGTGTTAAAAAATTGGCTCCGGACTGCTGGCGATCGGGAAGGCGGAAGGTGCCGAAGGAAGACAGATGGCAATAATACTGAGGCAATCGCTAATTAATTATATATATATATATTATGTATATATACTTGAGAATTCACATTAATTTTATTACTTTTATTTATTATTTTTATTAAATAAGAATATTGTTTTTCTTTAAAGAATATTATTTATTTATTTTATAAAAAGAATATTATTTTTTTATAAAGAATATTTATTTAATTTATTAAAAAAAAAACTAATACTGCTAATTTTATTTTACCCTTACAGCATTTTGACCTAGCTAGTGAATACCGCCATCTTATACTGACGATCGTTTGCCGAAGTCGTTTCCTAATGGCGGGGTCTGCGATCAACAGAGGGCTATAATCCGTCGGCCGCCCGATGGCCCCAGTCTTCTATTGACTGTTGGCAGTCGTCGTATGCCACCGGCGTGCTAACGTCGGCATGCGACGAATAACGGCAGGCTTTAGTCCGTCGGCCGCCTGATGTCTCCTATTGATGCAGGGCCGACGTCGTTTGCCACCGGTGGGCCAACGTCGGCAAGATCATTTGTAGACCATCGGCCGCCATGCGGCCGACGGACTATTGACGGCGGACCGACGTCGTATGCCACCAGCGGGCTGATGTCGGCATACGATGAACAACGGCGGGTTATAGTCCGTCGGCCGCCTGATGGCCGCTGTCTCCTATTGATGTAGGGCCGACGTCGTTTGCCACCGGTGGGACAACGTCGGCAAGATCATTTATCGACCGTCGGCCGCCATGCGGCCGACGGACTATTGACGGCGGACCGACGTTGTATGCCCCCAGCGGGCTGATGTCGACATACGATGAACAACGGCGGGCTATAGTCCGTCGGCCGCTGTCTCCTATTGATGCCGGGCCGACGTTGTATGCCATCAGTGGGCCGACGTCGTATGCCACAAGCGGGCTGATGTCGGCATGCGATGAACAACGGCGGGCTATAGTCCGTCGGCCGCCTGATGGCCGTTGTCTCCTATTGATGCAGGGCCGACGTCGTTTGCCACCGGTGGGCCAACGTCGGCAAGATCATTTATCGACCATCGGCCGCCATGCGGCCGACGGACAATTGTTTGTCGGGTGGGTTATTATAGTAGAAATCATCTACCTAAAGTACTGCCGGAAGAATGATTTATAGTATTTGTTGTTAAGGTATTGTTGGGGCTAAGAAGATTATATAATATTATCTTATTAGACGACCGCGGTATACTGGATTATGTTTGTTACCTTTACTTGTGTGAAAAAATTTAAATTTACTTTGTTTACTTATCTTGTAGGGTTCGAAAATTATATAAAAAATTAATAAATTTTAACACTCTGTAACTTGAAAAGAAAACCCGTAACTTTATATCATAAAAAATCTCTTATTTTTTTTTATAATAAATTGGCCGTTTAATTTTTCCCAACCTTTATGGTGGTCTAAGGTCTAAGGGGGCAGTTTATCAATGTCTTGTTAAACTCGCAATCAAAAAATTATATAGATTGTTCTCACAAAACCCATATAGAAATTATCTGTCAGATTAACTAATTGGAACTTAACAGATATGTAAACTGTTTTTTAATCTCTGGTTAAGTTTCAGTTAGTTCCAGTACTCTTGTTAAATCAATTATATTTAAATAAAGAATGTGATGTCATACTGTATATTATACAAATTTGTGTATTTTTTTTTGGATCATAAATAATAAAATAACAATATTATTTATGAAATTTATCTGCCAGATAAGCTAACTAGAATCTCTCCAAACATTATTAAATTTTTTTACATTATTAAGAATGTACTAATGTTAACTAAAGCTTGCAACAAGTGTGTGATACATTTATAAATATTTAATATTAATTTGGGTCTTAAAATAATTTAGTAATTAAAAAACTACTTATGTTTTACCTGTTCCGAGTGAGAATCTAACTCCTCCCAAAAATTCATTACTGGCAAGTCGATCATGATCCCACACAGTCAATTCCAAACACCGTTCGGCCAATTCTTGTAATGTAACGTCTTCATAAACAAATGTATAGTTCCACACTGGATTCACAGTTCTTTTGGCTACTGAAGTTTTTTGCTTTGAATGTCTACCCTTTTCTGGCAACAAATAACTAAAAAACGATGTTTAAGTATTTTAAATTAAATATGATCAAATTTATAAATGTTAATTATTACACAAGTCGAAATTTATAAAAATTACATAATTTTATATTGTTGATATGAATATCAAATTTATTTAATAATAAACGCACCTTTTGCAGAATGGGTCAGAAGTTCCGTTGGTTTTTACAGCAGTTAATGATTTCGCTTCTTTTACTAATACATGTAGGCTACCCCGTGATCTTTTTCCTTTTTTCTGAATTGTCATGTCTGGAGGTACAAATTTAAGGCATACAATAATATCACCTTTAAATGATAAAATATCCTCAAATGGTTCAGTCTAGAACAAAACAAAACAACAATTAAAATATGTCCCTGCTTTTTGAAATTTATTCTCACCCTTTCTTGAAGGTTGTACCACTTGGGCGAAGTATCATCAAAAACTTTATTCTCTAAAGTCATCATGACTTCCCCTAAGAAATCATTTCTTCCAAACATATCCGAATGCCATACGGTGAGCCACAAGGTTCTTGTCTCCAACCCGTTAATCGAAATATGAAATTTTAGGTTTTCATCGAATACCGGATTTAACGTGTGTTTTTTAACCTTTGTTTTGCGTTTTCCGCTTTTTGACTTGTCCGGGAGAAGATAAACTTTAACGTAGGGATCGGATCGGTTTCGTTTGGCGTCTACCGGGGCCAAATCTTTGCATTGTTTTATGTGGATTTCCAGGGCTCCTGCTTTGTAGTTGTATTGCAGACCAAATTCAACTTGACCGCGTACGGCGACAGTGCCATATCGTCCCTCGCCGGCCCCAGAGTACACGGATGCCATCGAATCAGAGCGCAACTTAAAATAATAAAGAAATTGTGAAACAAATATTTAATATATTACAGATTCGGGACCTTGCACAGGATTTGCTCCTGGAAGGTTTTATAAGGAAAATAAAATATATTTTTCAGTATTTTAATTAAAATATTTTAAACCAAAAATAAATATTAATAATGTAAATTTATGTAAAAACAGTTTTTCAAGTGAAAAAATATTTATTTTTAGGTTATTTTTCAGTATTTTAATTAAAAATTGTAATTAAAACCCTCCTGGGGGGGGATAAACCCCTCGTGCGCACTGGCCTTACGGATTTATTTATTTTAATCCTATTATTAAAACCATTCTTGATATGCAAAATAAATAACTGGGCGAAATAATTTATAATAAAGCGTTTAAATATTATAAAAACAGGTATTGCCAGGTCTTCCCTGTTTTAGAGTAGCGTAATTAAAAATTGTATTAGCTTTCTTATAATTAAAAAAATACACTCACAGGCAAAATAATTGATCCACACAAATTTTCGATGATTTTCAATCGCAAATAATTTTTTATTTGATGTCGATATTAAACGAATTTTAAGTAATATTGTAGACAAATTAATAGAGAATCGCTCACATTTCAAAAATTATATACAGCTTAAACCTAGGTTAAAACAAAAATATGTTTTTTACCATAAGTTTACACTCTGTAGAGTGGCAAAACCGTATATTGTTCTAAATTAGGTTTTAATTATCAAGTCGCATCTATTGTTGACATTTTTGTTTTTCGTTTACCTCAATATATTTGTTTTTCTGAAAAATTTGGAAAAAACATTGCAATTTTCAATATTTTTTCTATACAAAGAACTAAGGTTGCTATGGAGGATGACAGTGACATTTTTTATTTTTGACACAAATACGATTTTTTTTTAAAGAAACAGTACCTAAATTTTTTAACAAAATTTAATGAATCTCCTATAAAACCATGCGCATTATAAAACACAAACATAAAGCACAAAAATGGACGCGCGAATTAAAAAAAATAACTCAGTAACGAGTGTTTTCTCCACGTGCTCGAATGACAGCCTCCATACGCCTTGGCATCCCTTTAAAAGGGTTCCGTATATAATGATCTTGATCAATTTGCAGTCATTCTTCACTAAGCTTTTGTAAATTGGCTGGACCAGGTACCCGCGACTGTACTTTTTTACCCAATATGTCCCTGACATGTTTGATCGGATTTAAGTCAGGGCTGCGGGAGGGCCAATTCATTTTTGGGATTTCCATGGATGAGGTGCACCTCATATAAATATTCGACTCTCGCAACATGCGGTCGAGCGTTATCATCAGTGATTTAATGTATCGAGATACATGTATCTAGATACTGGATGATCTTTAGACCAATAAATATTATTATTATTTTTAATATTATTATTATCTGAACCTGTACTGAAAAAATATGTATCGGTTACATCACTGGTTATCATGCATTAATATGAAATCGTCTCATACAAGTGGTACAACATTTGGTTTTAAAAACCTGACGAATATATCTATCCGCTGTCATTGCCCCCATTTGCTATTACCAAGCTGCTTACCCTAGGCGAAAAATGGTTAACGTTCTCCTGTTCTCCTATAGATTCGTCAGTAAATAGAATATTTTTCCACTCATCAATTTTGATGTTTCCTAACAGAGTTTTTCTGGAAAATATTTTTAAAGCCCTTTCATTTAATAATAAAAAACGTTCGAAAAATAATTTTTAGGGAATTTTTTTTAAGTAAATAAAAAATATGCTGTTAAAGACCGTATTTTTTTTAGTATACCCTGAACAGCAACGAAGATACAGCGATTTAAAGTCATCAAAAATGACCACTTTTCAGCAAAATAATTCGTTACTGTTCGTTTAATTTGTACAAAATTTTCAGGGTATACTAACAAAAATGCTTTAACAGCATATTTTTTATTTACATAAAAAAATTACCTTAAAAGTTATTTTTCGAACTTTTTTTCATCATTAAATAAAAGGGCTTTAAAAATATTTTCTCGAACCCTCGAACACTTAAACTTATATATCAGTTGAAGTATTTTTATCCAAAATTTCATAAAGAATAATAAAGGCGTTTTAGAGTTAGATTTTTTTACAGTGGTTCCAAGAATTATGGCCAATACCGGACATACAAAATTTAATGTAATACCCACAATCCACACAAATAGAGGAGTAAGCAGTGATTTTTTGTATTTTTAGTACGAGATAGAACAGACGTTGTTCTTAGCAACTTATAAGGACTCTTTTAAGGCTTACTATGAGAAACACAACGTTTAAAACGATTATTAATCGGTATAAACAGAGCACAAACCCAAAGCACAAAAATTGTAAACAACAAAAATGGCCGCCGTTAAACTGTGCAGTGATGAAGTGATTTTTTGTATTTTTAGTACGAGATAGACGTTGTTGAGTGGATTGTGGTAATACCTACATAGACATTGGCCTATCGGTAGTTTATATATTAATATAAAGGGTGTCCCAGAATATGTAAACAATCTCCTGGATTTAAATAGAACACATAAAAATAATATGACAAGTTCCTATAATTTTTTTTACTACGGCCTCTCTACGAAGATACTTTGTCTAACACTGACATCATTATTTAAATCTGTAAATGTAAAAAAAAACATTACAAAAAAGATAAAAATAAATGCAAAAAACCATATTGTACAAAAACATTTTTTTTTCGATCAAGAATGCCTTTTTTAGTTAAGCTGACCAAAAATATTATTGTTGTGCCCTTATACTACAGGGTGTTAAAAAATAGCATTACTCTGTTAGAGCTAGTCCGTCCCTGGAAAAACAAAAGAATCGAATGTGATTAAAAGTGCCCATTTTAAGGAAACTCATAGTAATCAACATATTAAAAAAATATTTAATTCCCCCTAGTACTTCAAAAGTTATTTAAAAACAAACTATTTTCAGGGGCGTCCATTATGGGCACGTATCTCCGTAGAGGGGGCCGTAGGAAAAAAAATTATAGGAACTTGTCATTTAATTTGTATGTGTTCTATTTCAATCCGGGAGATTGCCCATATATTCTGGGACACCCAGTATATTAATTAATATATAAACTATATATAGGAATACCTAAGTCGGTATTAGGTACATAAAATTTTGTAGCCTTGAAAACTTGCTCATAAAACTGTATTAATTTAAATTACGTTATTTCAGTGGCGGCTCGTCAGGGTAGGCCTCTGAGGCCGCGCTTCACCCTTAAAATGAAGGAACGAACGACTTTTTGTATTTAGCTTTTTGCCTAATACACGTGGATTTTTACAACAGTTCTACCCAATAAAAAGTAAAAAAACAATCAATTATACTAAGCGTAAATAAAAATCCAGGCGAAAGGCGCGTCAAGTTTACGCGGTCAAACCCACTACATCGTTGAGAGTCGGCAGGACAGAGGCGAATTATTCACAGCCTCGGAAGCTCCTATTTAAATGCGAAATATATCAGCCAGGTTCGCCGCGAACTGTTCGCGTTTTTCTATTGCTTTGAGGCGAAATAATATTAGCTCAGGTTGTTCTGATTGGTGGTTTTATCACATGACCGTAGATGATTCCGTATCGCTCAAACGATGGGGATTTTAGTGTGCTTTTCAGCGCGATAGAGCATAGAGTAGGTGTTCTTGTTTTGATTCAGATTAAATTATTTAAAACTTTTGGCTGATCTTTTATAGTTTTGGTCTCGATTAGTGCATTTGCTTATTTTATTATTGTGGTGCACTATAGTGTGTATACGCAGATAAGGTAGATTTAACAATTTAATAAGCAACAAGTTGTTTTGAGTTAGGTTTTCAAAATACCGGTAAGTTTTCTTAAGGTAAATTTTACAGATTTTTTTTTAAATGAATCCTGTTTATGATGTTATTCTATCAATAATTGAAACGCCTTTTTTTTTAAAAAAACGAAACTGAAAAAGACAGATATTATGCAGTCGTCCGACTCCAAAGATTTCAGCAATATTAACGATAAGAAGCAATATTCAAGAACTTTTCAAATATCTTGGTACGAAACCTATAAGCGGTTATGTAAAAGTATTTTTCTATGACCACTATGTAAAAGTCACTTTTCATGATTGCATCGTTGCTTAGAAAATGAATCTTTTCATTGGCAAGGCAAAACACGAATGTAAAGTGATATTTCTGTGTGAAAAGTGACAGGTCTGTGTCTGGCTGTCAAAAAAGTTTTTAGGTTATTTTGTTTTGTATTTAAAAATAATAAAAAATAAAAGGGTAGCAGAAAAAACATTGTGTTATACTTGTGAGAAAAGCTTTCTTCAAGCTCGTGTAAATGCACACTCGGCCTAACGGCCTCGTGGGCAACTTAAAAACTCGCATGAAAAAGTCGCTTTTCAACACTTGTAAAACAAATAACTATTATAAACCTTGTATTTTATTAGGCCGCGTCAAAAACAATTGGAGTTCAGGGGGTGGGTATTCAAATTGCTCTGATATTTTATTTGTTTTATATGTATATTTTTATCCATCCCTATGAATACATTTTTAAGTTCCAGATATATATTTTAAAGTTTAAAAAAACGAATTTATGTTTTTGGGTTAAGATTGTTTTGATACTTTCTTTGTTTTGTATTTTTTAGTCTATTTTTTTTAAATTTATAATCGTTTAGTAGGGCTATCGCCCATTTTAAAAAAGGTCAACGCGTCGCAGAACAATACCTCCCGGGTGGAAATTTATTCGTATTTAGACAAAATTAACCTCATGTAGCCTTACCCTTTAATACACCCACGAGCCGCCACTGCGTTATTTGCATTAAATTCTTGTTTTCATAAAGTTTAATTGTTGCAGTAAAACGAGTTAATATATCCACGTTTTAAAATTCTACGCGGGTTATCTAATAAAACTAGAGAAGTAGAACAGTAACAATTGTACTATTAATAGTACCTATAGTAGATAAACTCATGAGTGACGTATTTTGCGATTGTAAAAATAATAAATGAGTCTTCAGTGTAAACAAAAGTGCATAAATG